AAGTTGAGAATTTGAAGGAACATACTCTAGTAGCTGAAAGGATTGTGTGTGACCATGTGAACAGTGTGGGAGGAGTATTGAAGGTTGAATTGAGCAAGCCCTTGCTTCTGTCAGTCAAGATGTCAAGACAACGGTACGAGAAATACCTTGATCAAGAAAGGCAGAAGAAAAAAACTGAACAGGAACGGTCAAAAAGAAAGTGCGTGCTGGAAGAGATTGATGAAGTCAAAAAGAAGAAGAAGAGAATTGATGCTGAGATTAAAACACTCAATGACACAGCCGATGAACTTTGTACCAAAGCAGAGGCTACTGCTAAGTTAACATTTGTCACCCAGGCGAATGCTTTGAGGCGATCTGCAAAGGACAAACTTAATGATCTTGTTTCCTTAGACAAAAAATTAAGTTCCATGCTGGAAAAGCTGAAGGAATAATTCTTCATGATCCTATCTTTTGGTTGTATGACTTTTATTTGCACTTACAGAAATTGCTTTTTTGGAGTAACTGGAAAAATGTGATATCGTGCGTGTGGAAATGGACTCCTTGAATATTGTTGAAAGTCCTTGAAAAGTCCTGGAAAAGTCCTTGAATAAAAGCTCATCAAACCTGTACGAACCATGACAAATACAAAGACTGATAAAAGGTAAGAGGTATAAGAGTAGGGCAATTACATGAATAATTAAAATTTCCGATATCCTCAACCCATTTACTCGAAAATGGCAGAAAACAGGCAATTTTTGATCAAGAAACCAAGTTCTGACAAGAACTTATCAAAGGAAAGGTATAACGATATGTTCAGAGAGTTGGCAGGTTTACACTACAGTGGCTAAGTGTCACTGGATTTAAATTTCCACATCATGTAGGAGATTTTGTGTGTAGTGTGTGACAGTTATTCAGTATCATTAAGAAACAGTGTATCCGTTTAGTTAAGAAATTCCGATTGACATCTGGTTTCAAGATTTATTATAAGCCGAGAAATTTTGGAGATTTGATTGGTTGATAGTATTGCCATTTCCGCATAATAGTGGTATAACAGCAGTGGTATAAGCTGTAAACATTTCTTGGCTTTCATTATAAAGAAATAATAGCATGACTTGTACATGGTATTAGCAATAATACCTCCTCGTGATATTTCAAAATTCTCCAAATACAACTCGCCGCTTCGTGGCTTGTGGTATTTTGAAGAATTTTGAAATATCACTCACGGTATTATTGCCAAAAACAGATAGGCATAGATTTTATGATTTCCGGCTCCATGATTGAAATAACCTTCAATGACCTTAAGTGCTTAGCCTATCACAATGTTAGAGAATGCAGTATAGTAATTGGAACTTCACCTAGAGTTTTCAGATTAGCTCTCTACACACCCGTTGTAACTGAGTGAATATGCAAGAAGAATAAAGTAGTTAAGCTCTGTCAAATTTATCGATTGAGTCTCATTTGTTAGAGTGTTATCCCCTGTAAATGGGGCAGAGTTTACGAAAATCACTGGAAGAAATGGAGTACCCACTTTGATCATTTCAATAATTGAGGCGATAAAAAAAATTATGGTTGATCACGATGCCTTAAAAGAAAATAATCAACAATTTATCACAAGCTAATAGTAAGAATATTGTATGCAAATCCTGCCCATTATTTGGAAAACAACTTGTAGGCAAAACAACTGACATCCTCAAGTGCTGGTCTCTCAGTCAATAGTCAGATTTTCTAAGTTTCATTATGACTGTAAAATTAATAGTGATATAATATTATTTTGAGAACATTGGCAGTTAATTGAAAGGTACAGATTCGATATGCAATCATCAGGTCAAGCCGACTCCATAACAGACATTCAAGATGGACGTATCTACCAGAATGCCCTGCAACAGCCCCGAGTCCATGGGAAGAGGTTATTCTCTCTTGTGGTCAGTTGTGATGGTGCCCCATTAATCAAATCGAGGAAATTTAGCATTTGGCCATTGATGAGCTACCTTGTTGAGTTACCACCAGTGGAAAGATACAAGTTTGAGAATCTCTTCCTTACTGGACTTTGGTTTGGTCAGTTAAAATCAAACATAATATTGTTCTTGGCAAATTTTACCTATGAAATCTCCTCTTTGGGAAAAGGCTGTGAATTTGAAGATGGAAATGGCAAGGTCATATACTCAACATGCAGTATTCAATCCGTGGTGCCAGACCTTCCAGTTAAATCCTTGCTCTTTAACATGAAACAATTCAATGGCCAGTTTGGCTGTAGCACTTGCACACATCCTGGGCGGTTTGACAACCAACTTCATGCAAGGCTGTATGAATATTCTACCTCATCTAATGTGGCTACCAGAACAGCACATGATACCAGAAGGTATGCAGAAATAGCTGAGTCAACAGGTATTCCAGTTTTTGGCATCAAAGGAAAATATATTTTTGGAGAACTAGTTGACATTCCAGACAATTTACCAATTGGTTGGATGCACTGTGTTAGTGAAGGCATCATGAAAAGACAACTTTTCAAATGATGGCTTGAACCCTGCTATGCCCTAAAAACCTTACAGCTTCCTAGGATTTGCCTCTGAGATTGATGAAATGTATCTTTCCATAAAGAAAGCCAAGAAGTATTGTTGAATTTAAACACTGGAAAGCCTCTCAATTCCGGTTGTTTGTTCTCTTTTCTGGTTTACCCTGTTTGCGTGAGGCTGCTGTTTTTGGTGAATTTGATTGTGATCACCTTTATCATTTTGCTCTCCTCTCATCTAGTCTCCAGTACTTGCACTCAGTTCCTGTTGACAAATCTAATGTGGAGAAGGCACAGATTTTCCTTGACAACTTTATCAGACTTCTTCCCAAGCTTTATGATGTAGCTGAATGTACTTACAACAGACATGCATTGATCCATTTTCCCTCACAAGTTCTGGACCATGGCTCACTGTCACTTACATCAGCTTTTGTCTTTGAAAGTTTCATTGCCCACCTTAAGAATCTTTTCACTGGAACAAGGGGGTTACCTAAACAAATTGTGAAGAACATTGGTGTCACCCAAACCTACAAAAGACATGTCTCAGAGAAATGTGAGAATACAGAAAAAGCAGCAAAGTTTGCAAAAGAGCTCCTTTATGGAAAACCTCAAAAAGATTCATGGATGGGGGTATCCTTCTGCATGAACCCTTTCATTACAAGAAGCTGTCTAAGTTTCATAACATTCTTCATTCTGCATTTAATGTTCAGCCCAACTCAGATCACCTGGTTTCCTACAGGATGACCAAAGATCATGTCATCTTCCATAGCACAATGTATCCAAGAAAGGGAAATTCATGTAGCTACCTCGTGGAGTTCATATGGAAAAGTAGTTTGTTACATTGTATGTGAAAATGTGGCATATGCATTACATGAAGAATGCAATAAAACTGGCAAAAATGTCTGCCAAGATCTACCTTTACCTCAAGATCCAGTTTTAAAGGATATTGTGGAGAGAAATTTAATAGGTGAACATTACCTTGAAGTTGAAGAAGATGGTGAACTATTAATTGTTAGTTGTCATCAAATTGTAAATAGATGTCTTTTTGTCAAAACAAGGGAAGCTAGAGGTTTCATAACAGCTCTAGATACTCCATATGAACATGATTAGACTTCAAAACTGATTAAACTGCCTTGGTGTGTAAGTGAAATAACTATAGAGTGTTGATACCTTAATTAACAATTTTTCTGAGATCTTGTAATTTTTTTGTATTAATAGAATGCTGCAAACTGACTTTTGATGACAAGATCTTGTAAGATTTTTTTAAGATCTTACAAGATTTTATCAAGATCTTTTAAGATCTTAAAATGCTACACACTGACTAAATTTGGCAAGATCTTGTAAGATTTATTTTAAGATCTTACAAGATTTTTGTTAAGATCTTTTAAGATCTTAGCAAGTTGGATACTGATTTTTTTTCTAAGATCTTGTAAGATTCTCTTAAGATCTTAGAAGATATTTTTTAAGATCTTAGAATGTTGAATATTGATTTTTTTGGACAAGATCTTGTAAGATCCTCTTAAGATGTTACAAGATTTTTACCAAGATTTTTTAAGATCTTAAGAGTTAAACAAGATCTTATTAAGATCTTAATCTTAATAAGGATCTTACAAGATTCTCGCAAGATCTTACAAGATCTTAATAAGATTTTCACCTGGGCTGTACTGCGTTCCTCCTGGAGGTTTGCACAGGTCATTTTCCTTAAAATGATGGCCGCATACGACCGTTGAAGGTTTCACGTAAAAGCCGTCTCTTCCGTGCTGCCGGTTGATTAAATTGCATCATTGATTTCGAAGCGATGGCTTGGTTGGAAACTTAAAGAAGTGAATTTTGGATGGTGTTTTGTCGCTTAGATATTCAAAATTGTTACAAGCTACCACTGAACACTGCTTCCCTCGACTTTATGTTTTCTGTGGAGCTTTGGTTCGTTCATAGTGCTTATGGAGCAAACAACAAATCTAAAACGAAACTTTCGCGTTGTTTTTTTTCAAGTGTTATACAGGGATAGCCTCGATTTCAGGTTTTACATTTGCGCCTGCAGTGCATGTACAGCGGCATTTCGCGGAACGAGCAATGGGAGTATTGTTCAATTACCCAACACACACGATTCTTGCATGGGAAACAAACGCTGTTTCCATCACGTTATATTTCCAATCAACACATCACTCACTATAGAGGCATATAATAATAATGGTTCTGTTCTTCTTGACAATTTGAATTACAGTTACTTGATGATAATGAAACAAGATTGAACACATAATAAAATGAAACGAGATATTTTTGCATTCAATCACATTGATACTTCAATTGACGAAGCCAATCTATCAGAGATAAAATCTCTTTACAAATTTTATCATAAGAGGTGGTGGTGTTACAGAGAGACTTTTAGATGATTTAAACGGATTAATTTATCTTGCAAGCTGGGTAGTTCATCACTCATTGCGGTTGGCACAATTGTAGGTGGAATTACACTGAACCTAATTACACTTGGAGTTATTGCTGGCATGGGATTGTTATTGAAAACATTTAGTGAATACAAAAAGTTTGAACCAAAGATTGAAATGTGTAAGTACGCTTACACAAGATATCAAAAAGTATTGACCGACTTGCGTTCTTGCTAGTGAGAACAACATTTTAAGGGTGTGTAATTACCACATTCCTCCTTCGCACCACTTTTATAGAGAGTTGTGACTGCAAACTTTCCATCTACTTGGATATTTTCTCTCTTTAAAAAACTCATTCTGCTGATGTTGGTTATGCAGTGGCTGATCTCAGTATGGATAATCTTCTTTTCCTTTGATGTAATATTGTCGGGACCATGTGCTTTTCCAATGTTGACATTTTTAATCTATGTAGAAAATGCCTGTCATGGAGGGGTATCTCATCAATAGTTGGAGTAACTCTATTAATAAAAGTTAAAGGTGAACCACTTGTCAGTTGAAAATTTAGGGCAAGCTTCTTACAGTATCAAAGAAAAAGTTTAAAGCATTTGCTTTATCTTTGTCCTCGTGAACCAAGCTGCCATGCTCGTTTTGTACAGGACCAATTTTCATACCATTTTTCTCTTTCCTGGACATCTGCTTCATGATCTTCCAGAAATGGCAGGATCCCTTTACTACATTG